TGCCAAATGGCAGCTGTACTTAACTGCAACTGCAAAGTAATCTATACTGTAAAATACTTTCAGACTACACATCCTTTGAAATTCTCTTTTTTTTCCACTAAATGAAAAATATTTCTAAGTTCAACAACACCAACAAAAATCTGCAGTGCCAAAGAAATAAAATTATTTAGTAAAACAAGGGCTATAAATTAACATCTCTCTCAAACTGTCACTTGACAACAGACTGCCTTCAAGTCAGTAAGGAATTTGAGTCCAAGTTTCCCTCTCCTTAAAGTGAAATATTATTTTCTCTATCTTACAACACAAGGCTAATCTTCACAACTTGAAGCATTCAGGCCAGTCATCTACTCATAGTGAGGATGGAGCACAATTTTGTTAAAGTGGGATTCTCTTTTTGACACAACCTGCCTCTGGCTTTGACAAGGCTCTGAAGATGCTGCTGTGATGTGAAGACTCTCCTGTGTTATCTTCTCATCTGGAAGCTGCCAAAATTCTTGATGAACTTTAGCACTGATCCCAGACTCTGCTCAGCCTGGGAAGGCAAGAGGGAAGTGCTCTTCAGGCATGAGCTGCCTTTAGGGTCTTGACTGAATAAACTTGGCGTGTTTCTTGAGAGTACACAGTGAGTGCTCAAGAATACAGATGAGATCAAAGGCTATGTTCAAGAAATGAGTCTGGAAGTTCAGCATGCATGATTTCTAATCCTCTAAATTTCCTGCTCCAGACAACATGGCTCCTGTCACTTTTCAGGTGACAAACTCTCTGAGAGACCTGGCTGTTCCTTCATTCACCTATTATTTAACAAGGCAACACAATAAGACCTCAGTTTGGGACTGATCCTTATAGCATAAAAAAAATCAAAAATAAAGCTACATGGGATGTGGCTGCACAAGTTTGTTTTGGTGAAGTTCTGCTTCAAGGATTATTTAGGTAATTTATTTGAAACAACAATTTATACTGACCCAACCTGTACATGCAAAGCATAATTTTCATAAAAAGGAAAAGAAATTTGCTGTCGCACTTTAATGTTGTTCCACACATTCTTGCTAATAAAATTATTTCAGGCTATTTTAAAAAATTGTACATTGACACTGCAACCACAGCTCCTTCTAAAATAAACATTAACTTTGTGTTACTTCAGGACCTACTAATAGCTGGCTTGAACAAAGAGGAATAAAGAAATGAGTTCAGGCTTAAAAATGAGACCTCAAAAGGGGGTTTAGCGAGACACAGAAACAGCTACTTCTACATCTTATAATTGGGGTTATAATAATGTCCTTACACAAAAGAGGGGACAGCGGCATTTCCAAAGTGAGAATTCAACACTACTTCTAAAACTCTGTTCAAAAAGCAATGACATTCACTTTGAGAGGTTATTTTAAGTCTTTCTGTTCTCCCTTCTGTAATGTAAAGGGCTCTTGCTCCCTGCTTTGCTAATTCCTGCTCTCCCTCTCTAGGTTTCATATTGCCTTGGCACCCCAGTGCCTAAGATCCAGAGTATTTCCCCTACTTATAGACCTCAAAGTGGAATTTACTGCACCTGGGCAGGCAGCTGCACCTCCACAGATTCCCACAGCCTCCAAAGCCCTTCCTGCCTCTGCAAACAGCACAAAGGGGACTGGGCAAAGGCACAAGCATCCCCCTTTCCCTGCCTCTCTCCTGCACTCCCAATGACACGTGCCATACTCCCAAAGGTTTTCCTGGTGCCACACACCACAGAAAGAAATGCAATCTCTGTCTAGGAAATTTAATGTCTAATAGCAGATACTTCTGCCTTCCTATGCATCTCAGGATATATTCTAGGGCCCACCTGCACAGAATATTTTGGGTTGGAAGGGACCTTAAAGATCATCTTGTTGCCATAGGTAGGATCACCTTCCACTAGACCAGGCTGCTCAAAGCCCCATCCTCACTCTCTACTAGAGAATTCCTGCCCATCCCTCTGCTGTAAATCTGGCACATCCCCTTAGAACATTCACTAGAGTTTTGCAGCCTGCTGGTTCTCATGGGGATAGAGCTGATCATTCACCTCAGTTACTTCCAGAGCTGTCTCACACCTGGAAATGCACAACTGTGACTGATTCTCAGGCAAATATTTACTTTGGCAGGTGCAGGGCAGAAGACTTCACTGTGCTCACCTCTTTTGCTGTAAGTAATTTACATCCATCCTAACCATTGACAAACATTACAAATTGCACACCTGGAGCTGTTACAAGCTCTAAGTGGTTCAAGCCTGTACTTTCCTCTTCTTTTTTTAAAATCAGCTACATCATATCTACATAGATGTACAATACAGTAGAATCACTGAATAATTTGGGTTGGGAGGGACCTTAAAATTGTAGCTCCAAGCCCCCTACAACACCAGAACAATTAGTGGCTCATCTATCATTTGCACTGGATTTCGTGGGAGCTGAGACAGTTGCTACTGAGATGAATCCACACTATTCCATTGCCCTGAAGCTTTGGGAACAATGGTGGAGCAAGCCTTGGTTCAGGACATCTTTCCAAAAGAGCCATTCACAAGTGGAAACCAGATAAAAAATGTGTTCCAAATGTTTTATTTAATTGCTTATTTCAGCTCAAGAGAGTCCAGAATCCCTATTTACAGGTGGTGCAAAGGTCTCTGTTGGCACAGACAGTAACAATCCATTTGCTCCACCATCACCTGCAATTTATTCAGCAATTTTTAAAATCCTGCTCTCTTCTATTCTATATTATATCTTTGCATAGAGATTGTAAAAACTGGGCATCTACTCATCTTCTCAAAGTGCAGCCTCAAGAGGAAGAGTGATGAAGGGAAGCTTTCAGAGCCTTGTGATAACATTGCACATGTAATATCGAGCTGTCTTTTTTTCCAGTGCCATCCTGGAATACACTAAACCAGCCAGGTTATGTGGTTTGCCCTCCAGTACTACATCCTCAATGGCAGTACAAATTAACTTCAGCAGTTCTCCAAGGATAACCTGGAGAACAGAAAAGCTCTCCCAAGATGGGAAAAGACAGTCTTCTTCCCTCATATCCTAGCTGCAATGGAAAGAAAAACATCAGAATTGAACCAACACCACTTCTCTTAGCTAAGATATATCAAGGTCCTATGCAGCAGAGAGCAAAATATTCAAAAATAGGCACTCCTCTGACTCAAATCACAAAAAAACTCAACATATATCAAAATAGCTATAATGAAAATTACCAAGAATTCTACTTAAAAGAATTGCAGAGACACAGATATATATGAAAAGTCACAAAGGGCATCTGCACATTTAAAAAGATCACACAGTATTGATGGCAATCACATGATAATTTACAAATTATATTGCTCTAGCTGAATTTAATCACACCACCAAGACTCTGACTACTAACCTATCTCCCCAGAATTTCCTGAAATAGTAGATATCCTGGACCAGAATCCCTTCACTCCTACATTTAGTTTCATATTTAAAAATCAATCTGTAATACAACAATTTTTCAAAAGTAAAAAAAATATGTAGGTTGTCTTTTGGTTTTAATATCTGCCTCTCATGATTTTATAAATAGCACAGATCCTTGGTAGTTAAACTCTGGATTATCCAGTTGAGTTCATGTGTGTCCCAGGCCTGGGAATCTTTAGCCAGCTGCTCTCCACTGACACAAGTGACTTAGGAGCACAGAAGCCTCCAGGTTTGAAAAGGCCTGCAAGACCATTGAGTCCAACCATTAACCCAGCACTGCCAAGTCCACCACTAAACCCAAGTGTCCCCCAAGTGCCACATCTGCACATTTTAAATACATCCAGAGTCATGTTTTACTAATCCAGAGCTCCTAAAGTGGTGTTTTATCAGAACTGAAGATTACCAGTGAAAAACCCATTTGTGCAGAGGTATCTGTCATAATGATTACTCATAAATATTAATGCAGTGTTTTCCACCTGCTCCTGGATTCCTGTCACACAATTCTCGCTGTACATATCCTGATCACATCAAAGAGCCCACTAACACACAACACAGCTCAAAGTCACTGAGACAATGGAAATCTGCCAGTCTTTCTACCAGCCTCATATTTTATCATCCATTTCCTTACAAGGATTTTCAGGCCTCTGAAACAGCACCAGGTTTGGTTCAGATACCAAAGAAACCAACAAAACCCTTCTGCATGTTCCCAATCAATGGCTGGGTGTTTTCTTCCTCTATATATATCTCAGATTCATATTATCTGAGTGTACAGTGCTGGGGGTCCTTTTAAAACAATAAGTAATTTGGTACCCAGCCAGTTATCTTATTTTAAAAACCTAAGAAAATTATATTTAGCCATTAATTTCTTCATCATGTAAATAATTTCTTTTCCTCAAAGAAAAATGATCTGAAAACTCATTTTCTCTAACTTTTGCAAAACATAAGTAGCTTTTTATTACTGGCTTCAGGTACCAAAACAAATCTACCAAAATAGATGGGACAAATCAAACTCTCCCTAACAGGATAACTTTTCTTTCCATGTTTTACAGGCAGGTGATGTCAGAATATTCATCTCTGGTTGGAAACAGGCTCCAACCCATATCCCCTGTCCAGTTTAATTAGATTGGACGCTGTGTGATGTGTATTCAAGATCCTGCATTTCTGAGACATCTAAAACAAGTAGAACTAAGTATTTGATTAATATTTAAACACAGCAAAACTGACAAATATTGCAGCAGGTAAGTTTCTTGGGCAAGATTTCCCTGGCAGGATATCAGTAACTTCCACTGAAAGGAGCCCCTGGTAGTTACTTGTATCCTGAGGAAGAGAACTGGAGCCCTAGAGATCTACTTAATTTTCTGCTTTCTGTGCAGATAAAAGCAGAATACATAACGAGGTCACAACAGACCAAAAATAGCAAATCTTCAAGCAGTTGCAATTCAAATAGACACCAGATCTGCTGGAAGGCAAGCAGCTTGACCAGCATACAGAACTTTTGAAGATCACTAATTTTATAACATTTTAAATTTCACCACCATTATTCAAAAGTCAAGCAAAACATGTAGTACATACTTTTCAGGGTTTTCCACTTCTTCGGTAACAAAATTGAGGTAAAACCTAGAAAATAGTTATAAAATTTATTATAAGGTTTATTCTTATATTCTTATATTTTTATTCTGTAGTTCTTAAACTAAGAATTGAGATGCTTTCAGTTAAGCACTGCTGTTAATTACAGAAGGCTGTGCAGGCCCATGATTGGATTAAAGAGAGAGTGATATTTAACCTTCCCTTATCCCCACACTCAGGAAGAAAATTCTCAGAAAAGACAGCAAAGTAGGAAAAGAAAAAGACAATAACAGTGTAAAATCAGTGTGTAATTAATTCATTATTATTAATTATTTAATTATTAATTATTAATTAATTATTAATATATTAATTAATTATTTTTTTTCCCCTGGCATACTATGCAGTTAATAGTTTACCCAAATTCTATACATACACACACATGCACCCTTCAAGCTTTATATTCCATTTGTGCTTGTTGCCTTTTATAGGTTCAGGTTATATTGGCAAAAAGTCTCATCAGAGTACTCAGCAAGGGCTTCTTAACCATACAAATAACTGAAGCCTTAGAAAAACCCCTCCTAAACTAAGAACTTTCACAGTATTTTGTGGTATAGGAACTTAAACACAGGCTTCTAGCCCTGCCTGCTCTTGCACAACCTCCAGTACAGGTTGCACTCTGATCATATTCCAGCAGCATTCAAGAGACAGCTCTGTATGGGAATTCATAGGAACTGCTCACCAGGCACAGCCCTGCATACAAAGCAACCATGAGCCTCAGGGTTGCTGAACCCTCTGTTCTACATTTATTAGCACTAGGGCTGTGCCTGACTGGATCACAATTGTGCCTGGCTCAGAGACAGGCCCAGAGTCAGATCTTGTCTAATTAAACAGAGCAGTCAATACAGAGCCTATGCTGGCCCTCTGCACTTGTGCAGGGAGACAAATGGCACCTGAGCCACAGTGCTGCAGTGAACAGAACACTGGGAACTGATCTGGCAGAAAGTCTGGAGCTTGGCCCCATCACAAGTCTTGGAGCAAAGCTGAGGTAGCAGAACAAGTGGCTCATGGCTTTTTAAAAATAGTGATTTTGTGACTGAGCATTAAATTCTTTGTCAGTTTATACAAAAACATCAGTGCTTGTTTTTAAACTTTCTAGTGCATAGAGCACAGAAGAAGATTCTGGTTAGATAAATGGAGGAAAGTCTTTACAGAGAGGGTGGTGGAGCACTGGAACTGGTTATCCAAGCTGTGGATGCCCCATACCTGGAAGTGTACAAGGCCAGGTTGGATGGGGCTTTGAGCAACCAGGTCTAGTGGGAGCTATCCCTACCCTTGGCAGAGTGGTTGGAACAAAATGATCTTTAAGGTGCCTTTCAACCCAAACCATTCTATGATAGCCCAGCCTCAGTCCTTTTATTGATGCCAAGACATGTTTCCTTGCATTGTTTTCTCCACTTGTCCTTTTTCAACCAGCATTCTGCATATTCAATAGTCTACACTTGCTCTTGACAGGATGAACCCACACACAGAAGAGATACTGCTTTTCTTTTTCAAAGCTGTATCATTCAAAGTTAACAGCCTTGTGAGCATAAAATTCTGCCTGCATCCCAGGACACATCAACACTTGCAACACTCCTTCATATTCAGCTCATTTTATTGATTTAGCCCCATGAAACTGATAGTGCAAGGATATTGCCACTCCGCTTAATGGTCTGCTCCTCCACGCTCTCAGGTGATGAATTTTAGCTGATGACAAAGAAAAGTAGACAGCTGGGAAGAACCACTAGCCAAATTGGGTCTTTTTCCTGCTAATTTCTTTTATAAGTGGCAAATAAGGAACTCGAAATAAAAGTCAGAAGGTGTAAAGAGGGAAAAAAATAATTATTGTAAGGCTTTAAATAATTGTGTGAAAAATGGGAAAGAAGCAACAGAATAACAGTATTTTTGATGAACCATTTTGCAGGAAAGAAACTGAATAATATTAAAGAGCTTTTAAAATTGCTTTCGTACAAAAACTTCAGTTAATATTCAAAAAGTGAGAAACCATCACACGTATGGATATGATAGACAGGGGCGGTTACAGGAGAGAGGGGGAAGAAAGCAGAGATTGTCCACATAATCAATTCCATTTCTTTGAGCTTCAAAATGCCAGGCTCTTTTCTTACATATCTATCCCCAGATAAAGGCTTTGGACTCTCTTGGGCTTCTTCCCCCCGCTGCCATTTAATATATAAAGTTCTGTTCACGCTTCAGTGTGCAGATTTATAATGCTCCTGCAACCAGGGAGTTGGAGATGGGCAGAGAACGCCAATGCTCAGCCCATTGTCCCTCCAAATTAAATAAATAAAGCCCTTATCTTGCAGCCCTCACTTTTCATGCAAGGTAAAGACCTTGGCTGCCTGTGAGGCTGTGGGGAGCCAAGGGAAGGGCTGCAGACAAAGCTATCTCAAAAAAAGCCCACTCTGTGCTCTGTGCTCTGCTTTCTTCCCCCCACGCTGCTGCTGCTGCAGAAACCCTTTGGCACTGCACAATGTGAGCCCTCACGAGCATGAATAAATTGTAAAGGCAGATTCAAGAAGCAGCAGCACCTTTCAAACCAGCTGCTGTGTACTTTGGAGGGGGAAGAGAAAGAATTTGAAAGTTCTAAGCAGGATACCTGAAGGTAGAGTCTCATACCTTTGCTCACACTTGATTTTTGTGGAAGCCATTTGCACTTTTATGTATGGTCCAAATTTCTCAGAGCAAGAGGTATAAAAATCTTGAGATTTTTATTCTGTTTCCGGCTCCATACCAATCTCATTGACTCTTACTTGTCGAATACTGCTATTACAAAGCAAAGCTAAGGGCCACACAACTTTGTAACAGAATCATAGATTTGTTTTTTAAATAATTACTGACTTCTTAAAAAAAATTTAAGCTTCATTAGTCCTTTTATACTTTTATTAAAATATTTAATGAAAAATGAAGACTATTCCTTTCTTGTGGTGTGATTATTTTGGTGGTCCGTGTGTGTTTATATATTGTACACTGAAAAAGAAAAATCCTTCCTTTGCAGAGCTGCTTGCACAATGACCACTGAGCATATGGAACAGTGGTGAGAACTACCCTAGCTGTATGATGTAGCTTGGCAAAAGATGTAGAATGTGATACTCATTGCTTCATACAAATAAATGTCTTTGTTAGAACATATTAGTGTTTGTTTTCAGGAAAAATATGTGCAAGTTTCATCCACTTACCAGCCTGAATAGGCATACATTCCTGAATAGAAAGCAAGTGGTAATCCCATAACACTGGCATCATTCCCTGCAAAGGCATTTTTAAAGTGCTGTGTTTCTCCTGCAAAATCAACCAAAAAAAAAAAAAAGTTGAAAAATAGGCACTTTGGTCATAACTACTTAAAAAAAAAATAAATATAACACATCATGGAACATTTAATCACCCAACAGTTCACCGATATCAAGTTCTGCCCTTGACCTTAAATTCTGGCCCAACCATTGCAGCCATACTCTGCCAGCAATTGTAAAAGGCTTTGTGGCTTCTGTATTCATGCAATAGGAGAATTTGGCCTATTAGTTTGTTTCAAAGCATTCTGAGCTTGATAACACTCACTGCTCTGTCATTTCCAGCAGTGACTTACATCAATATGAAAGAGCAGAATGAGCTCAGTAGTTTTTGATGTGGAAAATTTCACTTGTTCAACATTTGAATCAGAAGGAATTTTGCTGGCATTTCATTCAGAAGCAACATTTATAAGATAAATAAACCCAAAATTTTAAACATTTCTACCATTGAAATATGAGTTTAGTAACTCCCTACCATGATAATCAACACTGTATTAATACTACATCAAGAATTATCTACATATCTATAAATGAAAATATGCAGGAATTTTGTTATGCTCTTATTCATTTACAAAGTGTTTTATGGTTTGCAAGATGTCCCCACCATATCCCAAATTTCCTGAGAAGCAATGATCCTCCACAGATGCAGAGCAGGAAGAGACTTAATTAACTGATTTAAATTAGCAATTAGTTAAATCCTCTACCCTTTATTCTGTTTTTACTAAGCCCTCAGTCAAAATTCCCACTGAAGCAGAGGCTTTTTGGTTAAGGGAGAAGCTGTGGCCAGAGAAAGGTGCCCAGTGGAGAATCAGGGACACCAGCAGAGCAAGAACCCCCAAGCAAACCTGGGTTTGACCTGCTCCAAAGGTCCAGGAGAAGTGGGGCAGATGGGAACAGAGAGGAATTTTACACATTTCATGTGTCATGTGCAACAGGAAACAGCTTTGCCAAGTGCCAGAAAGAAAGTGAAAAACAAGAAAACAAAAATAGTGAATCAGCAGTGTGCTACACAGGAAAGTTTTTATTTCAGAGTCTATATTGACCACAGAGAGCCACCTGTCCCTGAGACACTGAGCTCACTGCACAGGCTAACACTGTGCTCTTCACTTGGGTAGGAGGGTTTGTGAACAGCAGAAAAGAAAGAGTGTCCCCTGGGACATAGCCAAAAACTGTGACAGTTTTTGTTAGATAAAAATCTGCCACCAATACATTCAGGAGTGCTCCCTACTCTTCCCCACAGGCTGAAAGGCTACTTATGCTCTGTGTGGCTGCTGTAAGGAGGGTGACCTGGGGCTTGTCACCATCCCACACCTGCTGCTCAGAGGGCTGGAATGGAAAAATCTACAGGTAGCTGAGCATCTGTCAGTGAGAAGAGTGCCTTTACAAGGGCATGTAGAGACAGGACAAGGGGAAATGGCTATAAACTGACAGAAGGCATATTTAGATTACATATTAGGAAAAATTCTTCCCTGTGACAGTGATGAGGCACAAATTGTCCAGAGAAGCTGTCCAGGATGCTCTGAAAGTGCTCAAGGCGTTGGATGGGCCTTTGAGAAACATGGCCCAGTGGAAGATATCTCTGCCCATGGCAGAGGGTTTGAACTAGATGATCTTTAAGGTCCCTTCCAACCCAAACCACCATGTGATTTTGTGCTGCTGTGAATTGTGAGCCCCTCTGCCACCACACACATGTGCCATGGCTAGGGACTAGCACAGTTAGAGCAGACATCCTGCCTGGCCTAGGTGTGTGCACAGCTGTCTTTAAATCCCATCCCACCCCTTCCACAAAGTTCAGGCCAAAGACAGATTACAGGGAAGAGCAGTCCATTTGCTCCTTTGAAAAGCCAGTCTGATTGGGATAGTCTCATTGGCATGCTGAAGGAAATGCCAGTTCATCCCAGTGTAGTTCCACTTCTTATCAATGACATGACAGTACAGAGCCTCAGTTAAGCAAGCACAGACTAATTAAGAGATTTTGCTGCTGTAAGCATCATGTGGTGGAGGCAAGTGGGGAAAGACTGGGGAAGGTAAAGATAAAAGCTCTTTAAAAGCATTTACCTTTCATTTCATACCTTTAATTAGCTGGATAACTCCAGGGACTATAATTATCAGAATTGCTACAAGCTTGCAAAAGGTAAGGAACATCTGAATGCGGGCACTCCAGCTGACACTTGTGCTATTCAGGACCATCACCAGTGCTGTGAGGGGAAAAAGAAAAGTCAGAAAGAAATAATTGTCACAAAATTCTTTGCCAGCAGAGAGGTCACACAAACAGCAGATCCTGGTGAATTAAAGGAAGTACACCCCCATAACCTTCTCCAGCTCTTGTCCTCCCACTTCTCCCGTCCCCCTTCAAGGTACCACACCAAAGGCTTGAGCTGAGCCCCTATGCCTCACCCACTGCACTGACCATCCATCTGTCCCTTCCCTGCCTGGCATCCTCCACACCAAATTACAGCTTCATTGAGCCAAAACTGTCAGCTGCTGACAGACAGCAGCACCCTGCTTCTGATGGAAGAAATTAATTACCCAACTCTTGTCACTCCAGATTTCTTTGTCTGTGCGGCTTTGAGTAGAGATTTGTATTTTTTATAAAACAATAACAATTGATAACCATATTAAACTTTCTCACCCTTGTTTAGGCTGCACATAAATTTGTAACTGCTTTACCTCTGGTCCTTTTTTCCATGTTCTCCCCCCTTTTTGCTGTACCACCAGAGGTGCAGGAGGGGCAGAGTGCAAGTACAGTGCCCACCCTTGCTAGGAATCAGGGAAGAAACAGACACCTTTTACTTCTTGAAAACAAAGCCCAGGTCTGCAGCTCATCAGCACGTGGAAAGATCAGTGAGCAGGGCTTTTACATCCTGCCTGGCCAGCTCACATCTCCTTCTGGGTCAGGGACAGCATCTTCTAGCATTTCCTATAGCTCTGACTAACAGGATGAGAGCAGGTCTTGTCATTTTAGTGCCACTTATTCTAGTTTACTTAAACAGAAGGAGTTTAGGTAGTAAAAACAAACTACAAATTTCCCCAAAGATTGGAAAATGGGAGCCATTTTACTAGATATAATATCTCTTTCCCCTGCTGCTTCAGGTAACCATGGTCAAACATGTTCCTCTGTCTTGCCATCACGTGGAGCTGATGAAGAAGCTCCTCATCTCAATCCTCTCATAATTCAAGCTCTCTCAAAAGCACCACTCTGTCTAAATCATCAGCTACATCACACATCTTGGGACACAAAAGCACAATTTGCTAGTTTGTAGGAGCTAGCATTGTAAATCTGGCATGGCACAGGCTTTATGAAAAAATAACAAAAAACCCACAGATTTATCTCAAGTCTTTTGGATAGTTTCTCTTCTCCAGTGAGATTAAAAAATATTTTTAAAATCCCCTAATTTCAACTAAAAGTAGTTTGAATTTAATTGAACAGAGAGAAAATTCCAAGTAATCTGGATCCCAATGTATTTTTGATATATTTTTAATAAAATAAAAACTCCAGAGGGGGAAAAAAAAGTATTTTTCTATAAGTTTTTTTTTGGGAGACAGAGTCCCACTCTCAAATGAGCAATTTACAAGTCAGTATGCTGACTCACAACCTCACCTAACACAATCTTTTCACTGGAAAAGGATCTTGAAGGTCAAAATGTTTACTCAGGTCTGTATCTCACCATATTTCAGAGCTGAAGTGTTCTGACGTCACAAATGGCTTGGACTTCTGCAAAGTTTCATTTGAGACCCAAATACTTTTTTTTTTCTTTTTTACTTCCTTGTATACCTATATTTGGCAAGCAACAGAAAGTCACAGAGTACTCTATTGCTCTAATATTACACTGACATATCTTGAATCATTTAAATTGTGAAAGATCCCTTTAGGTGGCTGATAAATATTCGTGCTGTTTGAGTCCCCCCTTCTTCTCCCAGGGCTTGATCACCAGCAAGACTAACAACTGTCATTTAAGCAAAATATATTTGAAATATTAATTTGACCAAAAGTGTTTAAGTTATAAAAAAAAAATCTAGTGCCATACTCAAGCACTAGTTTATTTAATTTTCCTAGAAGACTCAGGCTATCATAATTTTCTTCTGTAGAAAGAAAAGCCCAGGCATGAACCAGAGCACAAGAAAATGTCAAGGAGGAGTCCTTTGTGTAAGAGAATCTGCAATTTGATATCCAGCTAACTCAGAGTTCAAGCTGACTGCAGCAATCAGTCTGTCACCTTACACAGGTCAGAGGAGGTAACATGAGTGCTGAGAGCTCCTCCAGGCTTTCTATTGCATTGGTTTCACCTTCCTGATATACATATGAAAATGTTACTGGATGGCATGGCCTCAGACACTTCAGGAATGGGTCAGCCACAACTTCCCTGAACAACCTGTGCCAGTGTCCTACCACCCACATCAGACAAATTTCCTCCATATATCTAAACCAGCCCTTCTCCAGTATGAAGCCATTTGCCCTCATCCTATTGCCATGGTTCAAGCCCAAATGGAAATTAAACCTGGCAGCTGCTTGCTCAACTCCCCCCTTACTCCTCCTACCCACCACTGGAATGAGGAGGAGAATCAAAGTAAAATTTGTGGGTTGAGACAAGAACAGTTTAATAATTGAAAACTAAGTAAAACATTGTAAAAATGGTTAATAATAATAATGATAACAGAGCAAGTGCTGCACAATACAATTGCTCTTCACCCACTGAACAGAGCCAGATCCCTCATTCCCAAACCCAGATCAGATGCCCTTCCATTTAAATCCTCCCAGTTTATATACTGGGCATGATGTTCTGTGGTGTGAAATATCTCTTTGGTCAGTCCCTGCTATGCTCCCTCCCAGTTTCTTTTGTGAACTTCCTCACTGGCAGAGCATGGAGGCAAGGGAAAAAAATGTCCCTGACTATGGATAAACTGGACTTAGCTAAAAACCAAAGCATCAGTGTGTTACCAGCACCATTCTCATTCCAAATCCAAAGCACAGCCCTACAATAGCTACTGAGAAGAAATTAACTCTAGCCTGGGCTGAAACCAGGACACCTAACACTGCTTGCCTTTGTAAAAAGTCCCATGATACAAATGTCCTTTGATGGTCCTTCATAAGAGTAAGTTGGAGGACTGCACTAGTAGTAATTCATGTTGCAGAGCTGAGACTTAAGTGCTTACAAAATTTGAGACCAGTTTTAGATTCTTTAAATTTTACTTTATTGCACTTATTAGGCTATAAGAGTTTACAGTCTTCTTTATAATGTAGTATAATATTAAATAATATAAATACATTATTGCTTATTATATACTACTAATAATAGTAGTGGTATTTTATTATAAAATATTTAGTCTTAATGCTTCTATGTGCATGATACTTGTCTAGAAATGTGAGACTTAGACTAATATCATATACCAGCACCATAGTACTGGTTGTGTTAGAAACTGGGCAGTAAAAGGCAATGGGAAAGTGGAGTCATGAAGAAAGCTGCTAAAAAGCAAGAAAAGATGATGACAGCTGTGTCAGGGTTCAGGAAGGACATTATATTCTGGGGCTGTGGCCATTAGTCAACACCTCTCTTAATAGAATAGAGCCTATTGGAGATATTTAGAGAAACTGATTGCAGACACTTTGATAAGGCATCACAGCAAATATCAGAAGGAGCAGCAGTTTCTCAGAAAAAAAGGCAGTAAAAGGAGGACTCAAGTCTAACTTTTCTAACTAAAAGTCAGGCATTAAGTGTGGCTGCATCCTCAATGAAGAGACAGTTAGCTCCAGAGGGTGAATAACAATACCTCTGTGAGATGCCTATCCCAGATGAGACAGTTTACCTTCAGGAAGTTCCTCTTTCCTTTCTCCACTGACTGTGGGGAGCACAGAAGATTACCTGAACTAAATACACTGCTAAAAACAAGATGAATCCTAACCAAGAGGAGCGAGGAGGGAGAACAAAATGGGGTTCGTGAACAATCAAACACAATGGACACACCAAGAATGTTTTTCACAATCTCTTTCCTTCCCACATACACTATTGATGGGTAACAAAATCTAATGGGAGAAGCAGCAGTGAGCATTACATCCTGGCCTACTTTTCAAAATATATGTACCATTGCCTCAGCAGGAGACCAAGAAAACTTTCCCATAACTTGACAGACTTTTAGGGCCAAGGAATTCAAAAAACACCCAAAAATACCCTCAATTTGCAGACCTTAATGAGCCAATTAAAAAGCCACAGGAAGCACAAAACCACCTATCAGAGCATATTTGCAAAAGCATATCAGAGCATATCCCTGCAAGCCAAGAGATTTTTTTTTTATGTAAACTGCTTGTCTGAAGACTGTCAGCAGTAGAGAGTGGCAACTGCAACATCTTGCCATGATGTGGGGGAAAAAAGGCATCTAATTATAAACTCACATAGACACCAATGAAACTTGGGGCTGGAGCATTTGCCAGCAAGCACTGTACAGCTAACCTCAGTTTTCAAGCATAACTTTACCTCTAACAGCCAAAGTTTGGGGTATTTGAGTTTTTTTGGAAGACTTCCCCAAAAAAAAAAAAAAAAAAGAAAAAAAGAAAAAAAAAAAAAAAAAGGTGGGGGGATGTGGGAATTATATATTATTGCAGTGTAAAACGCCCAAAATACACACATGCAAAAACTCATGTGAGTTGCTAAGTGGCTTTTAGTCTCACAGTTTTTAATAGCTCAAACCTGTTTATCTGCTTTCTGATACAGAGGCCATGTGAAAAGTTTGGAACAGGCTCAGCTCCTCTTTGGGCTACATATTGATAGAAGAGTTTGATATCTTTGCACAGTGCAATTTATCCCTTCCTGTTACCATTATATTTAAGTCTACCAATAGGAAAAGAATTAATAGATACAAATAAAGCAATATATGAATACAGGGCCTTTTTTGCAGTGATAGGTATGGTGATAGGATTTTTCTTCAGGTCAAGAAACAATAAATATGGAGGAGACTATCAACTTTCACTTCAAGAGAAAAATAAGTTTTAAAGTTTTTCTCCTTAAAACACTACCTTCAGCATGAAAACAAAAGTTGACAACATCCCTTTGCTTTGTGTCCTGGAGCTATTTTGTCCTGTTGGACCAAAGTGGGGAGTCAGAAGGGCTAGTCAGTCTCCTGCTTGCATTTCCTTCAGCTCTGCTTCCCTGTGCTGGAGCACAGCCAGCTTCTCTCTCCTCTACCTGGCCATTTATTTTCATAAAATTGTAGTAATCAGATGTCCTGTCTCTGGAAGTGTTCAAGGCCAGGTTGGATGGGGCTTTGAGCAACCTGACCTAGTGTAAAATGTCCCTGCCCATGACAGGGTGATCCTTAACATCCTTTCCAACCTAAACCCTTCTATGATTATGAGTCTATGAAACGTACAGTGCAATAAAAATCTTTGACATGTCTGCTCTTCTTTCACGTACAGTTAAATTAACTGAGTTGAGAAAAAGTTTATGGCAGACTGACCACCTGAGATCTGCATATCCAGTATTTGATCTAGGTTTTTCTCCTCATGAAGATTTGCTTAAGAAACACCAAGTGAATTTAAGGGATTTCTAAGTTTGAAAAGAACAGGAAGGTTTTGCTTTGGAGGTTCAGAAAGCTGTGGCATCTGGAAAGACTCCACACAAGGATCCTTCTCTCTACTGAGATATTGAAATGTTTGGACATTTTGGTTGATTGGTCGTGTTAAAAAGAGGAAGACCATAATAAAGGCAACTAAAAACGAAAGCAGTATATTGAAGAACAGAAAATTTGTTTTTACAGACTGTTGAACAGCTGATTTTGAGGGGAATTTTGTGCCTTTTTCCTATAAATAATAAAGCAAGAACAAGGGATTTTTAAAATGTTTCTGTGTACAGTTGTTGCATTTTAACTCTCATCTGATCTACATCTGCTCTGCACTATCATTCCTTTTTCACTGAAGAGGCACAGAGGGGAAATGGTGGGGAGCAGAATAGCTGTAGCCTCTCTATGAGAAATATTTTTTGGCAGCTGGTAGAGAAGCAATAGCATTTGCCACTCCCCAACATAATCCTGGTTGGATCCATCTCAGTCAACCTCTTAATCATAAGCTTAAGATGCATCAATAGAGATTCAGGTGGGGAGGAAAAAAATAAAAAGTAAAGAGAAGTATCCTTGTATTGTGACAAGGATAGAAAAAACTGGGCTACAATACTGGTGAGGGTTTAAAAAACTCCCACGAGGCAGATTTTAAGACCAGTTTAGGCAAACATCTGTAAGAAATTGTTTCTATAACAATGATTATGTTTGGGATCAGGGGATCACCTGAAGATTTTTCAAAATTTCTCCCTCTCCTTTCTAGCACAATGAGAAATGACAAGGTAAAACAATGGAACAAAGTCTCAGACAAGGACAGAGTTCAGTGGTGCATCCCACTGCCTTTCCCTGTGCAATAAAGACATATACACCACCAGTGCTCTCTCATCAGGCAAGGAAGGAAAGGGACCAGGCATGGGTAAGAAAAAAGGCATGTCATTTCTGATTAACTTAAATATGAAATGGAAACAAATACTACTTTTTGCACCATTATATTGGATTACAAGATCTTCAAGGGCTCCAAAGTGTCTGTTCAGCTCACCAACTTAATCTTACCTATCACTCTGCCTACATGCCCAATACCAAACATTCATAACAATTACCACCACAGCAGCTGATTGTTACCATACAAGGATAACAGTCAGACACTCTGGGATCCCTGAGCTTAAGTGCAGCAGAAGTTCTAAGAGCTACTACAAATGAAACTCCACTGTAGAGTACACTGCAAAGAATGAAGCCTCAGCCTGACATAGCACTGTTTTTCTCAACATCATCCCATTCACTACTACTAGAGTTTTCTACAAGAATCTCTTCTTTCAGTGAAATGCCAGCCCATCCTAACTGTGCTGTCCTGTACTCTGTACAGGAGCATCTGGCTGTGACTCCCTTCTCCCTTTAGACTGATTATTTCAGCCTAACTCCACCTCCCCTGCAATGCTACTTATTTGTTCAATTATTTTGCCAAGTCCTGGCTTATCGCACAGATTTTCACTTAAATTAAAAGTAACAAAAACATATTTCAAATAGTTCACCTATTGTGCTTGAATCACATGCAATTAACAAAACTCTTCGATGGAGTCCTCACTTAACATTCCTTCTGTCTCAGTGACCTTAACGTTTCTGAACATCTGTTTCACTCTTATCCTGCACTGAAATGTTTTAGACAGACCTAGCTGTAAAAAGTCATTGACCTCAAAATTCAAACCCTTAATTCAATTATTCCTATGAAACCTATAGTTTGTGCATAATTAAGTTAGAAATGAATGCAGTCACATACTGATTTTTAACACTCCCAGCAGAAAGGAAATCTTACCAGGAGAGCTCCCACAAAAAGCCACAGTAACCTGGAGACTGGAAATTTCAATGTCAATTGAACTCCTTGCCCCGAAGAAAGAAAAAGTCATCTGAACCTATTATTGTGCAAAACTGAAGGGGTCTCCTGTGGGCCTTTGATCATTTTGCATGTCTTAATTCCTTTTTCCAGTCTTTTTGTTTCTGATATGTGCACTGAGCAAACTGAAAGGAACAATCTGTTACTAATTACTCAGGTCTACTCTGCACTCCCTCCCAGCGAAGCTGAATTCCAAAGTGTGTCCACAAGGAGCATTCTCACCATTGACCAGGCAGACCTGGAAATAAACATCAAATCCCACAAGCTCCAGAGTCCTATTCCAATCACCCTTTCTGCCTTCCCATTTCATGCATCCTCCACACCAGCCCAGGTACACTATAAAGCCTCTGCTCTCAGGGTACTGTCCCTTTTTCCACTGCAAATATTGGCTTTCTATAACCCTAGTAACCCTAAATGATCCCTTTTACACTAACTACAAAGTTAGCAAGTGTAGGACAACAAGCCAGCAACAACCATGCACCAGGCTGTAGGTTCTGCTCCCAAAATTCAATCCCTGCTTTCTGAACCACAAGTGCCTCAATAAGGATTATTGCCAGGATGGAAAGAGTGGGTCTGGGGAAGATGACCTCACGTTGCCTGTCCACACTCAGGAGAGCTACATTTTTTCATGACATCATGCTTGGCATTCAGCTGCCTCCTAAAACCAAGGTAGAGCAAAGCCCTTAAAGAATTATAATCATTCTTCCATATCTCTGGCACTGCCTCGCCATGTCTTAGGGACTGAAACTGCTTCTACAAAAATAATGAAAATTGGGCAATTAATTCAAGTGGCAACAGAATCAGCCTTGACAATAGATTTTTCCCTGCCATTGATAAAGTCTGCTGTTCCTCTTGACCCTGCATTTGTTCACAAACACACACACCCAGGCAAAATGTCACACAGGTGCCCCTGGCACTGGATGCACAGTAATTAATGATTGACATCAAACAACTACCTGCTCAGTGTGCTATTTTTTTTTTTTTCTTTCTTCAACTTGTATAATCTTTACCCTTCCCTGAAACCTAAAATCAGATACTTACTGATGCCAACAGCTGTAATAAGTTTAATCGCGAGTTCTGGGATTTCACACTGCATAAAGAAAGGTTCCAAGATGTAACGTCCAAAGGCCAATGATATCACTGCTGTAGCAGCAGGGCTAGGGTGAGAAAAAACCCAAAGTCACAAAATTTATCTGCAATAATACATAGTTGTTATTCTGATTGGATCATGCTGTAACTTCACTATCAGAGAACTGTGAGCCTTAATTTTGGTGCCTTCTTGTAGCTTTGCTGACACGTACATTCAGTTTCTGAATGTAGCACTACTCAGTTGTTCTGATTTTGACAGTAACACTTCTTACCAGGGTGGCTCTTAAAACTTCCATATTGCAAAGCAGTTGTAATCAAAAAGGAAAAATATCAATCGAAATCATTCACTCACTTGAAGCGAACATAGACAGAATCAGATTTCATGGGCAACACCCTGCACAAAAGTCGGTAAATTTAAGTGGTCAGATATATCTCACCCCTCAGAGACACAAGCAAATGAATTTCATTCAAACTGAGAATTCTGGTTTACTAAAATAAGTATCCAAAAGCTACCCAAGTCTTGTATTAAATTCTGAGAGAGTCCAAATGGGATTTTCTAAAATACAAACAGAATTTATTCCTTTTATTGACTAACAGTTTCCTAGCACTGCAAGTGAAAGCACAAATCCCTGTAGTAGACCATAGAATACCATAAAACAAAAGAATATGAAGAAAGACACAATTTATTTGGTCAGTCAGTGCTTGTCATGGTAAGAGTTAAGTTCTCCAACACCCCACACAAAGTTGTTGCATTTACAAATTTGAAATGCCCATAATATTCATACAGCCTTTCTCTTTGAGAGAAGCTAATTGTTTGACAGAAGCCTTAGCACTGACACACATTAGTAGCAAATAGCCTGTTATTGTTCATGTTCCATTTGGGAGGACATTTTCACCCTTTTTAGGACAGCTGGTGGCATCTGTGGTTTATCACATACACACCATAGGACAAAAGGGCACACGATTCTCAAAGGACTTCTGAGCTGAACAAGAGCCCATGCAAATTTCTCATGAAAATACCTGCAACACCTCACGTCACAGAATTTTGATAAAAATTCTGTGGAACCCAGTAAAAATTCTGCAGAGACATTGTTGCTCTCCATCAAACAATAAAAGAACACAAGGGAGTTGCACCCTGGAAACAAAACCCACTTTCTTTGTGTTATGACTCAACCCAGAAGTCACACACTGTGTTGGACCAAGCTGCAGGGCAGCACAGAACAGAACAATCTTTCTCAGGAAGTTTCTGCATGGACAAGCAAGGGCTGCTCCATGTGCATCTCCCACGCATGGGGATGTCCCTCTCACTGGCCAGCAAACGGCTTTGCAAATTTTGTCTGGATTTTCACATACATTTGCTGACTTTACCTCAGTGCAATGTTTCTAATTCATATCAGAAGATCACCAGGCTTCCAGTTTTTAAGTACTGCATGCCATAAGTAGCTTTGGAGCACCCTAGATCAGATGAAAGATCAGATCTTTGGAGCTGTCCCAGACTTTTTTCCTCAGGCCCAGTTCCTTTCACCAGAACTTGGATTTGGCCCTCCTATTTCAAGGAAAAGCGTTTTGAAAGAAGCAGTCACTGCTATCTACACCACTATGTTTCTAAAGACATAGCTCCTAAATGACACCTCTCATAAATAGCTCTGCCTCTGACACTCCCATGTCTTGGGGGAGATGTGGCTGGCAATGCCATCAATCAGTGGAGGCAGAAGTTTAAATAATGGAGCAGTATTTAAAAAATACACAGATGGGGTGTTTAGGGACACAGCTTAGTGGTGGATTCAGCAGTGTTAATTG